AGACAGACGGAGAGACAGACGGAGAGACAGACGGAGAGACAGACGGAGAGACAGACGGAGAGACAGATGGATGAGGGGAAGACGGACGCACAGATATAGTTTTGCCGCAGATGGAGTTTTCAGATTCAATGACATTCAAAACATGGATTCTCCCTGAACGTGTTGGATAAAGTAATGTACTACATAGAAATAAGACTCATCTATTTTGCCCCTATCACGGCAAGGCGATACGTTTTTCTCTCGAAAATTTGTTTTTTGATGCATGATTACAATACTTTTTCGTAAAAAAATGGGCTAAAAAGTAAAACAACAGATACATAGTTTCATGCTGCGAGTGCAATATATACTTCCGATATTGATCATGAATGGTTGATCTAAGAGACAATAGTTATTTTTGTAACTACGGTATTTATGCTACTAATTTTGAAGAATTCATTTCGTGAACAAATATATTTCTACATTTAAATGTGCTCGGAAGTAAGGCACCAATAATATTGAACCTTTTTCCATTTTTGAAAATTCAGAGAAAATTGGGAAATACAATGTAAAAGAATGGTCGATGGAAGAATTTTGGATTTAATTGACGCTCACCCAAGTATGATGAAACATTAGATAAGCTGTTACTTGATGAGTAATGTTGATGCAATTACTGTCTCACGGTTCATTGTGCAGGGCGATAATGCGTAAGTGCGTCAGTTTGCATGAGAATGCAAAACTTTCCAGAATATTTCACAACGTACAACACTTCACAACTTGCGTTTCATTTCATAATGCGTTTCCAATTAGTAAATTGTTGCTGATTGTTCATTATTCTTTTACACATCTTCCTCCTGATCTCCTTCTTCGTTTTCTTCTTCTATGTCCTTTCTTTCTGATGTTTCTCATCAGTTTAGTATCTTTATCCTCTTCCACGACTTCTTCTTTGGCTTTCTGTTTCTTCCTCTTCTTATACTCCTTTTCCATCTTCGCTAACAAAGATGAAGCTTCCAGCTTCCCTCGTTTCACTCTAGTCAACATTTTTCTTTGATGTCGAGACTTTTTGAATATTATATCCGGTGTATAATAGATTGCTTTTCAGATGACATCTTGTTTAATATCTGATTTAACATTTTATGACATTTAAATTGTAATGTGTTCAAATAAAATGAAATATCATTAAACAATATTTCTGAATATCAATATTATTTTTAATAATAGCACCTCAGTGTAAGCAATGTATCACCATTATATAGAGCTATTGGTGCTACAGGATACCGCAGACTTTCTCGTTCTAGTTAGTTTTTTAAGCCACTAGTTCGGGTTAGATTTTCGCATTTTCCCCAACCCTCCTCCCAGCAGCTACGTATCAGGGCCTCAAAGACATTCTTACACGTTTGCTGGTTTGGTCTTGTTGGCAAAATTTTAATTAAATATATGAACTTTTTTCATGTGAAAAATGTAATTTGAAGATTTCAGGAAATGCGCAATTTTGAGCTCATTTTAACAGAAGAGTTTTAGGTTTTCGAGAAACCTAAGAAAAATGTAATTTGAATTTTTCAGGAAATGCGCAATTTTGAGCTCATTTTCACAGAAAAGCTGTAGGTTTTCGAGAAACCTAAGAAATTATTTGATACAATTGCGTTCAGAGACGCTGCATTCCCATAATTACAAATTAGTGACGCGAGAGATATTATTCAATGCATTTATTTCTCTCTGTACAAAAAGGTTAAAGAAAATATTTGGAACTGTTTTTTAGAAAATCTTGCTTTTAATATATTTAATTTTAATATTTCACGGAAAAATCAACAAAAACCCCTCCTACTTTCAAAGAAATGTGCATACATGATATTAATTAAAGTACCACGGACCCACAATGTGTGAAATGTGAAAATTGTAATATTCTTAATGACATATGATGATACTGTATAATTATGATACATATTATTTATAATAGGTGATGCCATGCAAAGTTAGAATATGTATGTTGACACTTATGTAAATGTATTGATTTGATGGATGAAATTATAATTGGCTAAACAATTAATATAAAACACCTTAGTAGCTAATAACCTTAGACGTTGATGCGATTTAAATATTTCTAAAGAAAAGAAAATTCCTGACAACTATTCTGATTACACACAGTGTTGAAGGAAGTAATTTACCTCTACATGATTTATACACTCTTTCGTTACCAGTAACAGCAATAGATGTACGAACCGTATTCATAGTCGTAACTTATAATTAAAAAAATAAGGAGTTCCTTATAATGTTTACACTTAATAGTCGCGACTTATCCACGTTCATAAAAAACATTTTATAGCTATAAGGAAGGCTCAACCTTCACAGCTACACGGCAGCTCCTACCGTGTTGCTTTTGCTGCAAAGCTACCGTGTCATGTCTGTAGGTTTTGGTAAAGATACCAAACATTAACATTATGAACATTAAAGCGGTAGAAGTGCCTGAAATTTTGAAGATGTAGTATCGTTTTTAGCTAGTAACAACGGTTATCAAAACCGCGTTTGTAACATTGTTACTTTCGATTGAAAGAGCTTTATCGAATGTTAATTTTTGTCTAAATATTCACGACTAACACCAAGTGCTGCATTACCCTTTCCAGGTCCCCCGCCACAATCGAAGCTAATATGATTAAAAATACCACGATTGTACACTTTAAGTTCTTCATATAAAACAATTCACAGTTTAGTTAGGTTATTGGGTACGCGATATCATGACAGTTTGGAAAATGAAAGAAATTCTTCGGAAAGTAACTCTCTCAAAATTGAAGCGGTAGAGGTGTCGTTTGAAGATTTAGTAGCGTTTTTTGCTTGTAACAATGGTTATCAAATCCTCGTTTGTAACTTTGTTGCTTGTGATTGAAAGAGCCCAACCAAAAGGTTTAATTTTTGTCTAAATATTGTCTTCAGTACTAGAGCGAAGCCGTTGTCTGCAACTGCTGCTCTCCGCTTTCCAGGTCCCCCTCGACTACCGATATGGGGAAGCTACTGGCTTCTGCTGCTGGAGAACTACCACTTCATGCACAAGGCGACGCTGAGCATGGCCCGCCGCTACAACACGAGCCTGCTGGGCTTGTTCCTGGGCCAGTTCCCCACCGTGGTGGCCACCAGCTACGAGCACGTGCGAACCATCCTCACAAGCCAAGAGTTCGCCGCTCGGCCTGATATCATCCAAGTGCGAGCGCGCGCCTTCGGGGAACGCCTGGGTGAGCGCCCCCGCTGCCTCACGACGTGTGTGGAGAGCGGCTCTGGCAGGATATTTGCAACACCGCTTCTCAAAACTAAGACCCAAAAAAGCACTAGTGTTACAACAGCTCACACTTTCTCGCATTATTTCTAACTTTTGCAATTTTCGAAAATTACGAGAGTTCAACGAAAATAAGACATGTGACTTTTTTATGCATCCTTACTCGAGGAAACAAACAATAAAAATGTAGCCGTTTGCGAAAACGATTTTTGAATAAATTTTCTTCAAACCAAAATTGTGCGAAACTACTAGGTTTTTCAAAAACTCAGGTATTCAAAGACGAAAGGACATTTTTTAAACAGATTTCATAAGGGGCAAAATCTATCATCAATTTTGAAATTTTGCAAAGTTAATTATTTGCAATTTTTGAAAATAGAGAGTTTGCCGAAAATGCGACTGGTGCCTTTTTGAGTGCTTTGTTCCTTTGGCGAAAAAAAACGAAAGAAAAAAATTGGAGGCGATTAAAAATTGGCTGTGTATCACGCAAAAACTACTCATATTTCTTCTCAAACATCTCAAACTACTGATTCAAAATGTTTATGGTATGATTTAAAGATATATGTTTGAATAATAGATTTCATTAAAAAGATCTTCCTTCAATAAAATAGTAGTAGGAAGATGTCAAAATTTTTGTTTACTTTTGAAATTTTCGAAAATTTAAGTGCTCAACGAAACTGAGACCTGTGGATTTTTTGAGTGTCCTTTGCTCTAGTCGAGAAGTTTAATAAAACAATTGGAACCATTTTTGAGAAAATTCTGAAATTATTTTTGACGCTTCATGTAAATTACCTCAAATATCAAAATATCACAAATTTAAAACTCACAGGGCCTCGAGTTTGACCAGATAGATCGGGGAATATATATTTTGAAGAAATCATTTGAATAGTTTATGGTAGTGTAAATGTATGAAACACAACATAACATTAGCAGCTTTAGCACAACCTACCTTTAGTTTGCACATACATCGAAACGGCTGACCGGAAACCATCTTGCGTGTGTTAAGGAGGCTTATAATTTTCTGTCTTAGTTAATGATCTTTTTCATACCAGGGAGTAATTTTTATAATAGTTCGCGTCACGAAGTTGCAAGCCTCAAGGTCGAGCCTAGAGAGAACGTTTGCCTGTCATGCCTTTCTTACGCAAATCTGTCGGACGCTGAGATCAATTTGATCTCGAGGGAAACTTATGTAATTTAACGGTCAACAGTTTCCGTTTGATATCGTAAGCATTGTTGCAAAACCTTTCGCAAGACGAGTTTAAATGTACAGACAGACCTGAAACTATGTTTTTGTGAAGAAACTGGCAAACTCACAAATTACTCGGTAATGTCCTATAACGATTATTCAACATAACATTTTTATCTCGCTGTAACTTCAACGGTTTCGTTCAGGTTAAGGTTTTGAAGGATTAGGCAAAGTCTGGATTGTAATTTTCTGTAATTTAATTTTCACAAAAATATGCTTTCTAATCCAATAGAAAATGTTTGAATAAGCTTATTGTCATTTGATTTGATATGATAAAAATGTTGATATGTAAATAATATTCTTATTTGAGTAATGTTGTTCCAAGCCATAAGAATATGTTTTGAGAATATAATTTGAGTAACAACTTTAAAACTATTAAATCATCTAACTTTTAACTACATTAGTAAATTTTTAATCAATAATTTTTCTTTTTAACAATCAATCTTTTTCGGTGAAAACTAATTATGAGATACTAAAGGCATCATTTAAGATAAAATTCCATTAAAAAATTCCCCCCAAAAAAGAATCAGCATCTTAGTTTCTGAATATTCTTCAAACAATTTTATTTTGGGGGGGGGGGCAGACTTTTCTCAACATTAGATTTGCATGTCATCCGTTCTGTGCCCGAAGGCATCTTCTTCTCGGAGGGGCAGCCGTGGCTGGAGCAGAAGCGCTTCATGCTGCGCAACATGCGCGACTTCGGCTTCGGCCGGCGCTTCCCGCGCATGGAGGAGGTGCTGCACGAGGAGGTGGGCGACCTGGTGGCGCTGGCCAGGGGCGAGTGGACGGACGAGGTAAGCAGTGTTATTACTCGGGCAACTTTTCTTGAACGATGGATTGACGATTTCGGGTGGAGTGGGGGTATTAGTTACAAAGTCAGCCACTAGATCATTTTAAGTAATGCCAACGTCTGTGAAATGAAAGTCAAAACTGCATCTTGTGCTTAACTTTTTCGGGAGTTTTAGGTGACTCCCTTGAAGGACCTGGACCTGACTCAGCTATTTCTTTCGATATTGACAATAAATCTGAACAGGGGTTCTGCACTATGAAAGCAACTGGCTTTGACTAGCTTCTGTTTCGCGCCAACGAAGTTTTAATGCTTGGAAGGTTGTCATCAGTGCCCGCTGCGAGGTTTTGCCTTCAACTGTTTATTGCACAAGGGAGGGGGATCAAGGTCATCGTTCAAGAAAAGTTGCCCGAGTAATACCAGATGTGTTTAGAGGGATTCCACCATGTTCGTTTCAGTTTCCGCCGAAAATCCGCTGAACTGGTTTTAAATTTCCCGCCTAAATCCGCTAAACGTAAAATAAATTATTTTTCCATATTTAAATATTGTATTAATTTATTCTATTAAAACAAACGATAGAAAATAATGATAGAAAAGAACAAATGCTTATGAATGCATGAAATAGATAAGGACAATTGCTTATTCTTGGTCATAGCCGTCGTTATTGGCGTATTCGAGCCTCAATATTTTAAAATAATAATAAAGGACGCACTTATGTAGACTGAATTGTCTGTCTTTTATTATTATTTTAAAATGTTTCTGCTCGAACACGCTTTGTGCCCAGGCCTTAGTAGTGAAGATTTGAAATTCCGCTTATTTCCCACCGTCTTTATTAATTTCCGCCGTTTATTCCTCTGTCCGCGAAACTAATTTTCTTTCCGCCGTACGAGTTAAATTCCGCTGAAAACGGCGGGAATTCCGTCGATATGGCAACACTAGAGGTAAGTGGATGATGTGCATATGGCAACACTAGAGCTAGCAGTGCCGCAAAACCATACTCAAGCAAATCGTATACGAAATTACACGCCAATATTAGGCTAATTAATTGCTATATTCTCGAATTTTAGGCTCTTGTGGATTTTCCAAAACGGTGGTCTCTGTTAACTTGACAATAATTAACAAATAAGTTGAGTGGGTGAGTGGAAAAGCCCAGAAGATTATTTTGAGATAATTCAAGTTATTATGTTTATTTAGATATGATAAAACTGCTGATACGTAAATAATTTTCTTTCTTTAGTAATGTTGTTCAATGCCATAATAATATGGTTTGAAGTATAATTGCGATAAAAACTTTATTAATAATGTGTTGTTATTTAAACGAAAACTGTGGGCTTGTTCTGGTTTTCATGTCAACGAAGATTTATGAACCAAATTTCTTACAAAATAACAATGTATCACAATATTACCACATTTTATTATTGTGAGAGGGCACATAAATAGTATAACTTTGGGTCATCCAAATTGAAATTTTAAGTAGAGATCGTATATTATAACTATATTTTTCAAGATATTTTTGAACGGGCTGTGTTTTGACATCCAATTCATTCGGCATAAACTTCAAAGAATCTGATGAGCAGTGCGCAATTTTCGTTGTAAAGGATTCTGTATGTTCATATATTTTAACAATATTTTCGAATTGATAGCATGAGTTCTGTTATTTTGTTTTCCTCTTCCATCTGTTGGAGACAAACCTGAAAAAAAAATTCCTGACAGCCGTTGGACCTGATTGTGTGGTATTCCATTTAAGCTTATGAATGCTTGTTTACGTACATGAATGTGAACACATTCTTTCAACGCAAAATAACGAAAATTAATGGTTCTTAACATACTGTTCCCTTCATCTCTAGCTCACCGGTTCATTACAGACACACTCTCGATCAGTAACAAAAACATTAAAATACATCAAACCAGTACGACTGGTAAATAACAAATCTATGGTGACGGGATAAGTCTGTTCGTAAGTCATGTTTTTAAAAGTTTGGTTAAGTTCTAAAACTACAAATTAACTATCTATATTTTATATTAGTAAAACGACTGAATTCAAATGTTTTCTCCTTAACGACAAAAAAGTTTTGGGAAATGTAGCTCAGCATTGAGCTCTTGTTTTTTCCAAACTAAGATTTTTGACTTAAGAAATATAACCCGCGACCACGGAAATGTGAACTATCCGCTATGAGCAGCCCGAGTCGCAAGACGTCAGAAATTCAGATTGCGAGAGCAGAATATGCCCAGGACATACTGTTCTTTCCCTCACCAAAGAGAAGGAAGTGCCTGATTTGAAGCCAAATCATCTCGTATTGAACTGTTTTCAGTCTCAAAATGTAGTCCCATCTGCATTTATGTCTGTTAAAAAAAAAAGACAAATTTTGGACTGGCACTGTTTTTCCACTAACCCATTCAGCTTGGTCTACTACAACCTCTCTGGGTATCAGTCCAGCTACGTAACGGGTATCATTTTGGCGTGCTTGATCTGAAATAATTTTGTTCTTGTCAAGGACTACATAAACATTTTGATTTCGGTTTTTATTTTGCAAGCTGTGTTGAAGGGGCATATCAGCAAACGAATCAAAATAATTAAAGTTTAATGAATCTCTCGTTTTAATATATTTTATTAACTCATTTTTCGCACGTTAATTTGAACATGTAACAAATTATTTTGTAGAAGTGGGGACAAATTATTATGCAAAAACCTTGTACTACGTTCTAAATCTGATAACTAAATATATCAGCCCCAATTTTTTTTTCTGCACAGGCCGCAATGAAAGACGGCTGCATGAAGTTTCCCACCGCTCTTTATCCGAGCATGATCAACGTTTTGTGGATGATGATAGCGGGGCAGCGTTTCTCACGTGACCAGTACGACGTGCTGCGAGCAATCGCGGAAGCCTCCAACAAATTCGTCCAGAGCGTGGATCAGCTCGGAGGCGCCGTAGCGCAGACCCCTTGGTTAGCCAACATCGCTCCCGAGGCCACGGGACTGCCAGAAACTGTTCGCAACAGCAAGCACCTCTCTGACACCGTGAAGGTAAGGGGAGAGAGGCCTTTCAGAAAGCTCTGGGACTGTACTGTTTTTTGTAATTACAATTGTTCACACAAGTAGTCTCCTTGATCAGGATTAAACTCGGGTCTCCTGGTTTATGCCCAGTTACTGATTACTGGGTTACTGTGGCAACCAACCTGTGAGCGGTTTCACCGGTGAGCAGTGGTAAATTGACCGTTTATATGATATTCAATTTTCACGACACCAATACCTTATCGGAGATATGTTTCATACAGTAACTACTTCCATACAGTTCTATGATATGTTCGGGAAACGATCGAGTACCTTATATTTACTCCCAGTTATGCCCAGACCCACAGCCGTCACAGGAGCCGGCCTGTGTGCTCTAAAGTCACATGACCTCCTGCTGGCGAAAATTCTGGAGACAAGGAAGGTCTACACAGTATTGGGCTGTGCATCCTGGGTGGAGGATAAATACATTAGTTAAATAAACACACTTGAATTTGAAATTGTGAAATCAACTCACTTGAAACAATTGAATTTCTGCGACATTTCGCTGTTTTCATGTTTCATAAACTTGTTTGCAAGAATGCGTGATTCGTCTTTGTTAAGTAGGATTCTTGCCTACGTGTTGTACTTTCTTTTTATTGCGTCGTTACTTTTGACTTTTGGGATTCAGAAGTCTCGTAAAGGTGTATGTGATGTAATGGGTCCCGTCGGAAAACGTATGCACTTAAAATCGAAACTGAGCCATGGCAAATATTTCTGAGGGTTGAAAACCCTTTTGCAATTAATTGTATCGTTATCTTCATAACAGATAAAATACTGTGAAGTTAATGATAAAAAATTTAAGAAACACTATTTTTGTGGTAGAGAGTCGTGGGTCGTGGGGGAACGGGGCTAAAATAGCCTGTCAAAAATCGTATTCTTATGTTTGAGTTATAGTGAAACTATTCACATGTCATTTGGTTTTGGAGAACTTTTTACCATCATTTCCGGCGGTATCCCTTAGTGTTAGTGCGATTCTCGATTTCAGACCGACTGCTCTTACTAACAGAGCGTGTTGAAGACTAGCGTTATCGAAACTCATCAACGCTGCAACTGACCTTCGAGGTCAGAGGGGAAAGATAAGCGGCCTCGGAAGTGGAGCTGCAGATGCAGCACTGCAAAACTCAACTTATGTTTCAAAATATTTCCTACTAAAACAAACTATTGTAGTGTCACATGTCTTATTCCTCTTCGTTCTTATCGTGAATCTGATATATTTGGCACCTGGAATATATTTTGCTGATGAATGAATAAGCACAATGAATATAAGTTTATAATCTTTCAGAAATTAAACAATAATGATGTTTGTGGCAGCTTAAGGTCTTCGAGTCAGTACTGTCGAGTTCAAAGTTGGCGAGTTCAAATGCAGGTGACGCTGGCCCATTTATATTTACATTTGTATCCATTTAATATTTATTGGGGCTGATGAGTCTATGGCATACACTATAGATTTGAATAAGGTTACTTACTGAAATACTAGAACAGAACTGTTTGAATTTCAAAATAAAATATTTTTTTCATAAAAATAATAAAATAATTGGCACAATATTGTTTGAAAACTAAAAAAAAACAATTTAACCAATTTCAAGACCAGTGTCCTAGGTTTATCATCTTCGCCTTTCAAATTACGAAAAGTTATTTCTTTGTGTCCAATTTCATAAATACGCGTCATTACCGACTCACAAAAACATTCTAGACAATTTTTTCTAGAACTTCTAGTGTTTTTAATTTTACGTAATATTGTCCTCAATCAAATATACCGCGAATATCCTATTGCATTTCCTACTTTCAAATTACACTGAGTTACGCCAATACAATTGAAAAACTCTGTCAATCATTTACGGATCCAATTATAATTTGTTTGCTAACATGTTGATAAATTTTATTTTCAGCTCTTCATTTGTTTCTTAACATTTTTCATTTTCTTCAGAATGCCCTGGAGGATCACGAGAGGACTTATTCAGAGGATCATCTGCGTGATTTCATCGATCGTTACATCAAAGAAATGCGGAAACTAGGAACGACAAAAGAGTTATCTTTTTCGGGTGAGAAAAATTCGTAGTAATCTTTGTAATCCCAAATATGAATAGGAAACCACACACTATTTTAAAGTTTGGGTTTAATTTTTTCCTTTTACGCCAGGAATTTTTTTCATTAAACAATTTTTTGTAAACCAGCATTATAAAAGACCTTTTCTGCTGCATGAAATCGTTCATAAAAGAGCATTTTATGACACGAATAATTGCGTCATCCCTCATTCAGCCAATCGCAGTGAGAGAATCCTGGTGAGGTAGTGGGAGCCGACCAACATTTTCTCGCACAGATGTCGAATACCCGAGTTGTCACATGAAAGTAGTTTCGCAAAATTATGTTTGATTTTCTTATAAATTTATAATGCTGTTATACAAAAAATAGCGTATGCAACTCGTATATAATGTTGCTTTATTGCATGAATACATGTTTGAAAACGATGTTACATACTTAACATTTATAAACTGTCTTTAGAGAAATAAGTATTTTTCATATACCGACATCCTGATATATTTCCTTGACTGAGTGTTGAAGTTCGTAATTTTTGGAGATTAAAGTAATTACTGTAATGATTTGAATCTAATGAACTTTTCCAAAAATACTTGTTCTGCACCGAGCAATGTGGCTCAGTGCGTAGCGAGCAGTCGTCTTAATTGATCGATCCCCGGGTCGGCCATCCTGACCGGGTTAATTCTTGCTTTCCCTTGGTCAGAAGGCTATTGCTGGTATGATTCAAGAATGCCACGATCATCCCCCACCACTCCAGCTGCCACCTCCCACCATCAGCCTAGTCCTTTCACCTCCTCATCATCACCCTATCACTTCATTCAGCAATCCCTGAAAAGGCAGGAGGCCCTTGCCTTAATGGGGTCTTAGTTGGCAAATAATATTAATAATAATAATAATAATAACAACAACAACAACAATTTGTATTGTATGTTCTGAAATGAGTATTTTGAAATAAGAGTATTATTGTATGTCCTGAAATTAAGGCATTGCAATTATTAGAACCTACGTTCTTTTTTTATGATATTATGAATTATGATGTCTGATTACCAGATATTACACAGAAATTACTTTTAAATAAGTACATTTTCTTACTCATCGAATATTTTACTTACGACACTACTCATTTGACGTTTTGAATGGCGTATATATTTCAGTATGTGATCATTATTCAGCAAAATACAACTGAATGTTGACTGAAGCGTTATTGTATCACCGATGCAGTTTTGGTCTGTTGGAATGGGAATTTTTCAACGCATGTTGTAGGCAATTGCGTAATTATATTTTGTAGAATTATGAATGTTCGCGTGTGCATTTCGCAATATGAAAATTGTTTTATCCAGAAGAAAAGAACGAATTGGTGTTTATTATACACTAATAAATCAAGCCAATACAAAGTGTTATGTCTTGCTCTCAGAAAAAATCTACACTTCAGTACTAATTTGTCTAATGTCCTGATATGCTAACTAAATACTCGCACGAAGTTATGTGTAAAGATTATGAGTTCCATTGCATTATCAGCAGGGGAAGGATGAGCTGAAGGTGCAAGAGTATCAGGTAGGATCTTGTCACGTCTATACAATTAATGTCCTCGAGCGTAACACATTCAGAATGATGCGCAGGTGGGGTTTTCAAATAATTACAAAACTTCTTCAAGGCGTGATTGAACCGATAAACGATGCGTAACGAATATCACGAGAAATGCAAATTGCAAAGTTGATATAGTAGACACTATCAACATTTGTCGCCTGGCATTTCTATATGATATTCAACAAGTAATTGCCGGTATTTTGATGCTGACTGGAGTACCTTCATGCATGAGAACCATCGTGTGAGGCCATTACCGTACCAAGTGCACGTCTATATGTAATTCAAGTGCAATAATTGAAGTTCGCATTCCTTGACGTTCTTTTATAGTACAGCGGCGAAGAAAAAATTCAAATGGAATGCATACAGTGATATAATCTGTCAGTGGCGGCTCGTGAGTTAAAAAACACGTTTAATAACAACATAATGCAATTTTAAAAATAAATAATGATTACTGTTAAAATCTTTCATTAGAGAAATTAGCGTAAATACTACTCCTTGATCGGACACTGCAGCGTGCCATCATAACCGTACTCCTCTATACAGATTTATTCATATTAGTTTAGGCAAATATCTTTTTTAAAATATTGGCTGCAGCATAACCAATTGTATTGAGAATAATACTGATAATAAAACACAAATATATTTCAAGTTTAGATCACACGTTTTGTCTGGGAAATTTGCAAATATTATAACATATAAATCTGCCACTATTTCCCCCTTTGCGTAAAGCTTTTTTATCTTCTTCACGCCGCTTTCAAAAGTAGTTGTTTTCTTCAATAAATGAATTGATACTTTCGGATTCGATTTGATACTACGCGGATACTTTCGTCAATATTGGGGGGGGGGCGTTGTAGAGCAACTTCCCTGACTGCAACTGTTAATAGTGATGTAGGTGATGTCTGGAAGATCAAAGGATGAATACAGACTGCGAATAACGAGCTGAAATACCCCTGCTCTCGAACCCACAACGTTTTGCACCCGTCAAACGCATAGCCTTGGCAACCTTCATTATGGAGCCACGCCGCTAAGTATGAATATTTCCTATCACTGAATTTGTGGTCAGTTTTTTCCTCAACACTGCGATCTTGAATTTGCGATAGTAAAATATGTGTTTATGGTTTGAGCTGAAACGTCTCGCACACGTCACAATTATCGCCTCTTAGTGCTTTTCCAAAGATGTTAAAAATAGGTGCTCGTGGCGAGAGAAGATTTGTACTCCAACATCGGGTTGCCTTAGTACATTCAATATGTTCTGAAAAAAATTACAGCAATTTTTTAAAATTTTATTTTATTGTTGCTCGTATTGTACCGTAGGATAGTTTTCCTTTTCCTTCTTTATTCCTTCCTTCACCAATTGTTTTAAGTTTTGGCCATTTTCCCTCTTTAGTTTCTCTTCCCTTTCTCTGATGTTTTCCCCGTCAACAGCGCCTAATTTCTCGAATTTATCGTGGGTTTGGCTGACTTTGTGCTAAGTTTGGGTTCGATTCTAGTCAATTTGTCGCTCATTTCTGTCCTAACCTCGGCAATATTTCCGGTAGCTGACTCGCAGCACGCTTCTACTTCGTTATCACATGCCTGGAGCTTTTGGCTAATTTCTGACCGAATATTCCCAAGACTCGCTTTTACTTCAGCCCTCGAACTTTCTAATTCTTTACCCAAGTTTCCCACACTATTTTCAATTTCCCCGCATCTACCCTCGAGCTGGTTCTGCAATGTTCCGATCTCCCAATTAAATTTTGCTTCCAATTTTTCTAATTTTGCAGCGTGGTCAGCTAAGCAGCTGTCCAGCCGATCAAATCTTTGTGAATGCTTCGTGAGGATTTCGATATTTCGGAATGTTTTTCATTAATCTCTGAAATTTGTTTCATGAGAATTCGCATGAGATCGAGGGTGGTCTCAGGCGGTGATTGTTCCCCTGAACTACCATCTCCTGCCACATCGACGCCTGATTCGTCCAGCATTTTGGCTGTTTCGCGTGAAGCGCACACACAATAGTTATAACACACGAGGCACAACACAATAACACTCACACTCAAAATACAATAATAAATAACATCATTACCAGTCCACAAATTGTGCGTCTGCGGTTCCTCTCGAACAAATTTCAGCGAATGCGAATTTTGTAGCTAATAAGCAGTGGCAAAGGATTCGCCTATCCCCCCGTAAGTGCCTTTGCACTTCATCTCTAATAAAAACTCCAAGTGAATGCCTGTCCTAGAGGTGCACCCACCTCTGTCCGCGAATGCATCCCTTGGAGGTGCACTCACCTCTCTCCGCGACCGGCTCCCACCCCAGAGAAGTCTCTCTCTCCTAATGTAATTTTATTTCTCCTACACGCACGAGGTTAACTTTTATCCCCACCCTTTCTCCTCATATGTTCTTGCTCCCTACAAAGATCGCTTCGCTATTGGCTGAAGGTGATGGCGTTGTACACTAAATTTGGCCAATAGGGCTCCGGCGGAGTATAGGATTTTTCCGTTCTCTGTTTCGAAAGTAGGTCACGCCTCTGAAGGGGCTTATCGGCTACTGAATTATTACTTCGAGTTTCCCCGATCACGATGACAGGCGTTTCGGAAGTATTCCAGATGTGGGCTCCAGCTGGGCGCTTTTACAGTTTACCCCTTTGTTCGGTTGTTGGGTGGGGTGTCATAAACCTTCGAAATGGGTCAGGGGACCGTGGCTGTTGCAAGAAGGGGGCTGCGCGCGTGACGCCGTATGTTTTTTCTTCAGTACAAAATTTCTTAGGTCTACTTTACTCACTTTAATTTATCTGAATAATTCTGTACCGCTACAGTATAAAGGAAAGTACATATATAAATATGGTATAGTTCCGACTTTCCATAAAAACTTGGACATTTTGAAAATTACAAAAGTAAATATTTTTCGAATCTGTCATATACTTCCAATACTAAAGCCAGACTTTTTCTCAATATAACTTATTCATGTACTGTAAATGTGTAAATAGTGCTGTACACTTTTTGGAAGAAAATAAGTACTCTGAGGAGAGACACACTAGGAGAATGAAAGGTTTCGGAATGTTGTACATTGTCACCAATTTGTCTCGGAGAGTAACATGGAGCCATAGAATTATTGACAACGTACTGTACACCTGTGAATATAATACACTCACAGGTCTATAATTGTAGAGTCCCACGTTCTTCTCTGAGACAAACTATTAATGTATAATATGAGTAGAAAAATTGGGAATTTATTCGATCAAGGAATAAAACCAAAATAGTGCTTTATATAAAAAACGTCACAGCCGAAATATATTTTTAGGGGGATATTTCAAATAGAGAGCACCTGAAAGAAGCATGTTAGAAGGAATGTTTTTCTTCCCAGAGAAGCAGCTCCAACTTGTGGCTGGCGACCTGCTGGTGGCCGCCCCCACCACCACCTCCAGCACCCTGACGTTCGCGGTGAGGGCGCTGCTGTACCACCCGGAGGTGCAGCGCCGCAGCCAGGAGGAGCTGGACCGGGTGGTGGGGCGGGATCGCCTCCCCACGCTGGACGACCGCTTCAAGTGAGTGCGCATGCGCAAACCACTCCACTCTCTCAGCTTTTCGAATCTTTATGAAACGAACGTGTTTCCAGCACAAGAAGAAAATCACCCTTTTTGTAACAGAAAAAAGCTATTTCCTAATGAATGCACTGGCGGATCCAGAGGGGAACCATAGGGGTCATGACCTCTCAAAAGGCCTTAAGTTTTCGTTTACTTTCCCTTTTTTAGGTATTGGTCAACTAGGACCACGCGTTCATCCTGCTTCAGATTGAGCAAGTACCTTCATCTGCCGCGGGTGGGGGGCACCATTTTAGCTAAATCCCGATTTTTATCCCCCAAGATTGTTAGCTCTGGAGGTTTACCTTCCTTTATTTGGCAAAATGGATTTTAATATTCATTTATGGTCAAATTATGTAATTATAATAATATTGTATAGTAACTAATCTACAGTGCATAAATAATATACAATATAATAACAAATATGTTCATTATTTCACAAAAATATAGAACGGCCTCCTCCGAAATGATCTGCTGGATCCGCCTCTGAATGAATGGATGAATACAATCATTTTTCAGAACGACACGAAATTAGGCGGATTGAGAATATTGACTCTCGAATTAATTCCATTACTCCCTATCACCGGGATGGAAATATACAAAATTGAGGATAAAAAGGAAAAATAAAAATACCAATTAATGGTTACATCTAAATACAAAAACGTTTTTCGGATTTTTACATATTGTATACAGTTTGTTATTAAATGTTTTTTCTAGTTTTGTATCTCTCTTTTTTTAACATTTCAAAATGAAATAAAATCGCTAAAATAATTTACGTGAATGGTTTTGGATGTGAAAAAGTGTTACGTTTTATACGTCGCTAAACGTTTTTATTCTACAATTTTATCATTCATTGTAAACACAAAAGTGGCACAATTGCAATAAATTCCTTCTTTTTCTAATCGGACAGAATGAAATAGTCTATTAGTACAGTGTGTATATTTTAAAACTGTCTCTTTCGTACTGCCATGCTCTGTTAACTGCCTTTGCACCGAAAAATGTATATTGAATATACGGTTGTGTCCTTGCAGCTTACCTTACACAGAAGCGATAATCAGAGAGACGTTACGATACAACACGCTACTGCCCTTGGCGTTGCCACATCTTGCTGCAGAAGACGCCACTCTGGGAGGCTACGACATTCCTAAGGTAGTTGAGTTTTCTGTCTCGTACACTTAGTAAAATTTGCGATCATTATTTTAAGAAAATATTTCAAATTTTTACGAATTGTTGTACTGAACAGGCAATTTATCTAATTGATCGCAATTTAACGAACTATACTGTGACGAAGATCAATATGACATCTACAAGAAGGTTCAAAGAATAGCTTTATGAGTTTACTTTACGTTAAACTCCTTTTACCTAAGCCCCTTGTGTACATATTTTCGCTTTTTCCGGTCTGCCTAATACAATGTAGACGTTCGACCTGCTCCAGCTTCCTGGATTCAACTTTTCTCGGCCTTTACAGGTACCACTACGTTTGAATACAAGTTACGTATTCTTACGAAGTGTGAATGCCCATTTTGAACATTTTCTGTGCTTACGGTCCCTTCCGCAGGGGCAGAGTTGGACTCGTCTTTTCTTGAAGATCAAGTTTCTTGAAGATCGACGTATCTAGACGCGGTAGAGCGAGGATGTTATCAAATCATACGAGGTTATCAATTTTTGCCTTTCCGCTTAGCATTCGAATAATTGCCCTATCTCTTTTTTACTCTTTTTTGAAATAAAGAGTGGCTTTCTCCTTTCGTAATGAAATTTTATCACCAATCCGAAAAAACAGATGATGTTAGACTTGTATTTTCTAAAACTATTCTCCTTCCAGCTTCTTTGTATTATGTTTGTCTGTGGCTTTGTTAATCTAAATTGTACCGGAAACCTTGATCCAGGAGATCCTAGGTTCGAGTCCTGACAATGACAGGATTTTCGACTCTAGCTAAATAGCTTGGCCGAATCTCAGCCGCTATCTGGAGAAGATCGACCCCAACGCCATTTTCTGTTCATTGTTAGGAAAGGAGTTACTATTTCATTGTTTATGACTTTTGGACAATTAGTTGGTTTTTCAAACGCGCAAGCACAATTCGTTACAGAATATCAAAACGATTTGAGTTGTACGTGTTCCAAGACCCAAAACTGGAAAATATTGAGGATCAAGCGTCGACCATGATTTTAATCCATATGTAGACATTTTTACTTATTTTATTTTTAACATGTCATCTCTGATTATTGTGTTTTTAATTATCTCTATTTTGAATAATCTCAAATATTTATAATTCAATTCTAAACTCGACTGTTTAAATACGTGTTACACCTAACTATGCTAAAAAAACATTAACATGAAGCGTTGGGCAGCAGAATTTTGTGAAAAAGAGCTTCTCCAACATATGAACTTTTATTATCGCAAATGAAAAAAAGATACATGTTTCAACTTTTGTTTAAATCAATGATGTTTAAATCCAAACAATCATTGTCCAGCTTTCTGCGTGAATAGAGGTCAACGAATGTTCTAATCTGACCTGCAGCAAAGCATCGTTTGGGTGACTAAAATAATAGTAACCTTCTGGGCAACTTTTTCTCAGGTGACCCGCCTTGAGCCCCTTTTCTTTAGCGCGTAGCAGGAATTGAATGTCAGTTGCATTTGTACAAGTACGTGAGATAGGTCTGCATCATGGTCTGGTGAGAAATAAACTATTGCAGAATAATAATGATAACTGATTTTTTTATAGAATACAATCGTCATCTGCAACTTGCATGCTGTTCATCATGACAAAGAGTTATGGGGTGACCCGCAGAATTTCCGACCAGAAAGGTTTCTGGACGACCATGGCAAACTGAAAAGGGACATCACTTTGCCATTTGGAACAGGTAAGTAACCATCAATCTCATTGAATGTGATTTTTTTACGATACATAACATGCTTCTATTGAAAATTGCAATAATAATTGATGAGATAATTAGAAAATAATATATGTTGGTATTACGAATTTTAATGAGATTGCTTAACAGTGTAAGTTGAAGTTCTGAAGTGAACTTCAGAATCGACACGAAATTTTACGGTGTCAAGAATATTGCATATTTTTTCAAATATTCATATAATTCAAAGTAGTTGAGTCCTAACAAATTTGACCAGTTTAGATTCGATACATTCTTCGCCAGATACCACAATTATTTTAAATTTTGAGCTTGTCGTGTACCAATAACATTAAGCAATCTGGATATTTTGAAATTAATTGGAACTTACAAATGAAGCGCAAGACTTAATTCATTCATTGTTGTTGTTATAATAATAATAATTATCATTGTTGTTGTTGTAGTAAGAAAGAACCGCTGACGTAATTGTCGCCTGTTTGTGCAGGGAAGCGTTTGTGTCCCGGGGAGACCTTCTCGCGGCAAGGCATGTTCGTTGTTCTCGCTGCGCTGTTGCAAAACTTCAACTTGGAACCAAAGGATCGCAGCACTTTGCCACCCATCGACCACGCAATTAACGGACTGTCCCTCACTCCAAACTGCATGTGGGTGCGTATGATCCCCCGCGATTAATTGGGAAAACTCTGTGTGGATGCACAGAGTGACCAAAAATACAACATGACAATTACTCTTAGCTTAAAAAATTGGTGCTATTCGTTTTATAGTAGGTGCATTGAATGAACATTTTCCTGAGATGAAAATTATCAAATTAAGGAAGGTATGAATTTATATAATACTTAAGTTCGAAATCCAAGGTTAAAGTCTGGTCGTAAATAACAAACAACAACGTATTTGATAGGCAAAAAAGGATCGCTAGGATAAACTAAACCGCGAAATTCAAGACGAACGCTATTGGTTTGTTTGCAAATTAGAATAATAGTGACTGGGTATGGCTAACGGGTTGGGTTCGCGTTCAGTAAACAGATGTTGAGCGAGAGGTTGAATTTCCGTTTACGCCAAAACCTTCGTTAAAGAATACAAATAGTTGAATAAAATTGTGACTTTTAGTGAATAAGAGACGTAAATAGGATGTTTTTATGAAGGAGTACACGTATGGAACAAAAGCGATTGTTATGTAAGTGGAGGAAACTAAAATGGGTGAGTTACATTTTCTGATGTTTCGATAGAGATTATTGATAGTGAATTGATGATGAACAGGGATATTATACTTTATGCGATAATCTGAGTACATTTGTTTTTGAAAACGATCATCTTTTTTCCTTACGCGATGACCACAGAGGCCAAGGCTTCATCAGGATAAAATGTACCTGCAAAATATTGTTATTTATCATCAAATATTGTTATCAAGGTTATAAATCAGATTTGGATTCAATGGTAATATATCAACGGAATATCTCATCTATCTCTTTAGTATTCTTTGACATTTAGTTTTTTATGTTATTATAAATAAATAATATATTATAAAATATTTCTTACGAATATATTAGAGAAATACCACTAATGATATTATTATAAAATTAATAAATATTGAACTGACTTATACTTATTGAATGACAAATGCAATGTATTTTAATAAGAAAATAATAAAATTATTCCATTACCATTTGCATTTGATTGTCACTTGTTGATCCCACAAACGGTAACAATATTTTCGTTTGTATCAAGTATCATAAAATAATTATTTCTAAAATTTGCTTGTATTATTTTCTAGTTTTAAAAGATATCAACTTAGTCTCCTTGAAAATACAGAAAATATTTATTTTTTAGGTAACGTCGAAAAAAATCAAATTTACTCAAATAACAATGTTAGTAGGGCCGATGACAAAGGTCAGTGAGGACATGAGGAGTTCGTACGCGCAGACCGGGACGTTCGGACCGGGAAAGATAGCTCTGGGATGTCTCGTCTTGGCTAGTGTTCAACACTCTGGGCCTGCTCGGCGCTCTTCCCAGTTTGGGTTCATGGCGCTAGCGTGGGGTAAATAGTGAGAAGGGGGAGGGGGAGGGGGAGGTGGAGAGGAATCTCTCACTACCCTGTACTTGACGCTGTTCGGAGAGAATGGCTGGGTATGGCTGGGTCTGGGATGTCTCTGCAGTGCTTCCGTGACCGGGAGGTCCTAGGTGCCAGTTCCAACGGTGGCAGGAATTTCGACACTAGCTTTTCAGCAAGGTCGAATTCAGTCGCTGTCTGGGGGAGAATTGTAGAGGACGGCTGCTCTGATTGGTAGTTTTCCGTGGCTTCTCCGATCAACACCAGGCGAATGCCGAAGGAGTACCCTAACAAATGGGCACGGACCGCGCGCGATCTTTTCTACCTATCTCTATGTCCTTGTCTTATTCTCACCCTTACACATACACACACTTACATTAACAAGCACTACACTACCACACATGTCCGATCACAAGACTGATCGGGAGATTAGATCTTGTCTCGGCTGGGGTGGCGCCCAGCTGGTGGGAGATACCTGGTTGGGAAAGCTAGAACGGGCGAAGACCATAGCCTCCTCGATCATAAACACCTCCAGAGCAAAAAATGCACTACACGTACGGGAATAATTAACTTAGTAGTTGTCGCGCCAGGAATCACTAACAATCAATCAATCAATCAATCAATCGTGTGCTCGATCATGGATCAAGCCCCGCATGATCGTTTGAGTAAGTCTGAGCTATTGTGGAACGCCCCCTCCCCACCATGCATCACCATTCCCATTTTTATTAATCTTAATTGTTGTCATTGGGTTTCAAATGTGTTTCGACGCGGTGAAAAGGATTATTTACTTTTTTACCACGAACGTTTTTCAATGTTTGATTTCAATTACGGTAATGTAGTACATATGAGAAAACTTTTAACTTTGGGGCATGGTAGATATTTTGATTTCGTGCGTATTAGTACAGTATAACCCAACCCTATTTCACATAGTCACGATTGAGGAATGCTACACCTACAATATAGCAGCTTCCGTAGCACGTTCTGGGCACACAGGGAAAACAGCTTTACCAAAATAATTCAGCAATTTATTTTGCAATTCTGGTTTTCCTTGATAACCACATGGAAAGTCAAAACTCTTAAAAACAATAAGAAACCACGTCTTCATCTATTTTGAATCATTTCGTACTGATAATTAGGCTGAAGAAATATACGATATAAACCTTCAATTAGTACCCTTATAATTTATCTTTACTATTTTTTGCTCTAATTTATTTTACATACAACAGAAGCTTCTCTCGGTTGACGCAATTGCATAAACGACTGTAGTTCTCCATAAAAATTTTCCTTTTTGGACATTTCGGGAATTAATTTACAAATTTTCACTACATAACAGCAGTATTCAAAAGAGACAGTTTCAAATAAATTCGAATTGAAAATGAGAACTAAAAATACCCATTAGTTTTATTAAAATTATAGTAATATGTACCCTGAATACACGCTGTTATGGATATATTCAAATATTTTAAAACAAAACTTTGCATGAATAATATAGTAATATAGTATCTATTTCCATTTTCTTTACAGTTATTAATGAGGTAAAACTCTGCAATGTTGTCATGCCGCTTTCATTCGGAATAACTGTTTTCGCATTTCCCTGTATTATCTATAACCTAACAACATACTTCGAAGGTATCATTCGTAATTCTTGCTGCTAACACAATAATTTATTCTTGTTTTCTATTTTTGCAATTAGCCAATATCATTTCTCCTGAAACTACGCGATGATAGTTGTAATTGAATATTTTATCTTTCCACAAAAATTCCTGACCCTCCTTTATCAGGTCACAAACGTCACTCAATGAAAATTATTTGTCGTCTTTTCTTGGCTAAACAAGTCACATTAATTATTATTTTTATGACTTTAAAGTAAAGAAAACGGTTAGTAATTTATTCTAACTGCACGCACTGTCTGCCTGCACGTATTAAGCTAGCGATTTGTTGTAATGTCAACATGACAGATAAAACGTTAAAGTAGGGACTGTTGCCTGCTCGTGATTAATCTCGTGATTAACCTCGTGATTAATCTTGCGTCGCGTTTGCGTCCATCGTCCGCTGCTTTCATGGAAGCCGCCGACCAAACGACCCGTAACGGCCCCACTGGGAAGTTGACTATCTGGAATGACCTCCAATTCGCGAGAAGTCAAGAATATCCCCCGAAGAAAAAATGGAGTAGTGGAAATAACTTTAACGGGAGACGCGGAGAAACTATAATGATATTTGGAGAATGAACGATTTTCGGTTTTATTTTGTACAAAAAACGCGCATTGGTGCGTGGTATAATTAAATACGAAATTTTTAAATAGTATTTTGAATAAGATTACATGAAGTTGCAGAACTTGTTTTGTTTGAATCGCTATCTTATAAAAATTAATCAAATTACATAAGTCACTTTTTAACATAAAGTAAGTAGGGGTTATTAAATAAAAACGTTAAATCTATTTCAATCAACAATATCATTTATATCTCAATACATACCAACATCTGAAGTATACATTCTCATATTATAGATAAAGTTATGTAGTGCTGCGAAAAATCGATTTTAGAGCTTTGTATGTAAATACATGTTTTGGCGTTCCTTGATACAGAAAAGGCTTATTTTTTAAACGTGTACCTCTCCGTCTGCGAATATCAGCGCAATATTAGCGCATAACCCATTCAGAGCATTTTATCCAAAATGAATATTCTCGGATGGATCTAGGGCGACTCGTAGCCCTGCAAATTTGAAACAAATATTTTAGTTTTGGAGGGCACTTAACATGTCGACCATGAAGCGATTTCAAATTTACTCAAAAATGGCCTACATTATTTTTCTTTAAATTATTCTTAGAAGAGAGTGAAATACATCTATATATTTGGCACATGTCCTATCTTCACGCCCACTTTTGATTTGGAAACTTGCAAAATTTGTTTGACCTCCTCATTTCTCCATTAAATCTAATAGATATTGGCTGAATTCCATGAATTTTGTTACTGTTGATTTTAAATTTAAAAAGCCATGTTGTTTATTTATAAGTTTTATTTTTTTAAAAACAGACTCGAAGGTATTTGAAATTTAAAAAAATATCAAGACTTCTCTATAATTAGTAACAATATTTCTTCCTCAGCGTAAATATCAGAGTAATAGAGCTTTACTTCCATGTGTCAGGAATGTTGCCATATTTTAAAGATTTCGAAAATTATTTCCGTACGGTTTTACATCAAGTTATTGGACATTTTTAAGAAAATGAAAACGATGGCGTCTGGGCCGGTACAATTCCAACGCAGTTCAGCTTCAACAGCGGTGGCAAGAGGTTGCGTCCGCAGCGCTACCTAGTTTGTTCAGTGGGAGTCAGGTTGAGTCCTTAGTGAGTTGCGAGTGCTTGTAAAGTGATTGTGGTGTACGTGTTAGTAATTCTGTTTAACTAGTGGTGAATATAGATAAAAGTGATTTAACGTGCTCTGACCTCGGATATAGGATCCAAACAGGGTTGCAGGCTGTGAACATCTGTACGCCCGACACCAAACAACGTTCATTAGAATATCAACAATTCATCATCGATCAGCAACATCAGCATATACAGTTGCAGCGGCATCAGCTCCAGGAACACCATCAACAACAGCAACTACAAGGCCTTCAAACGTAAGTACAAAACAACTAACGTTCTAATTTGTCGCCCTTGGAACACAGTGCACCTCCGAAAACAGAGAAAAGCTATCCAAAAGACTTCCATCCCTACTTCTAGAATGTTCGAAACATTAACCAACAAAATGGAAAAAGATTAACATGACATTTC